TTTTACAAATTTTTAATTAGTCCCCTAGCTAGTATCCTTCTGACATTATCCAGTAGTCACATGGGTAACTTTTAGTTTTTTCATTATTACATTTATTATTACATTTTCATTATTACAGTTCCAATTACAAAAATAAAACATAATAATAAAAATTCAAATAACACCAAAAAATACAAAGCTACAAATTGGAAATCTCTCTTCACTCTCTTTGACAGCCTACTTATCTCCCATTAGGAAGGCATTACAGCTGCAATTTTAGAATGTCTATTTTCCAACATTTTCTGTGTATATACTGTGTGTACCTATAATTTACAGATATGTACATGTCCATATACACAACAGACATTGCTCTGTGACTTGCTATTTCTTTCCTCCAAAAAGGGTGGATCATTTTAATTTCCCAGTAATAGTGTCTAAGGAATATGCAACTCCCTAATCCCTCAATGATATAGAGTAATTTGACATTTTTACTTCTGTGCAAATCCAACAGAGGAGCAGAGTTACTGTTTCATTTGTGTTTCCTGGATTCCTAGTCACAGTGGGCATATTTTTAAGTGTTTATTGGCCTGTTGTGTATCTTCTGTGAATTGCCTGTGTACGTTTTCCTCATAGATCTCTTGGCTTATTTGTGTCCTTGTTCTTCTCTCATCCATTTATATGATACCATTATTTCGAATGTGATTACATGGACAGAGCAACTGTTTTCTGTAGTCTGATCTTCTTCTTTTACCTTTTTAAAATTTTTTAATAGATGAATTTTTACATCCATATATAATCTGTCAATGTATTTCATTTAGTTTCTAGATTTCTTCCGGAGGCTTTCCAAGATTTAAAACCTAAAATTTCTCAATGGACAAAAAAAATGACTCACACATTTATGGTCACTTGTGTAACAAAATTGATGGCACAGTGCAGTGGAGAAAGAATGATCTTATCAATAAATGATGCTGTCTCATTGGACAGCCAAATTGGAAAAAAAATGGATCTAGACACTATATCATACCTTACCCAAAATTTTGGATGGATTGAAATTTGAATTTGAAAGAAAAAAGTGTGCTTACTTTTAGGATGACGAACAAGCTCTTAACCACAGTGATGGTTTCATGGATGTGTATGTATCTCAAAACATATCAAACTATTCACATTAAACATAGGCAGTTTACTGCATTTCAATTATACCTCAATAAAGCTGCTAAAATTTTTAAAGTTTTTGAGAAGAAAATAGTAGAATATCTTTACGACTCTGAGGGTAGCAAGGCTTCTTAAATACTATATTTAAAGCACCAATCACAAGTGAAAATATAGAAAAATTAGACAACTTTAAAATTAAAACATTCTATTCATCAAGAAGACATCAACAAGGGAAGGACAATTACAGAGTGAGAGAAATGTTTACAATGCACAGATCCAACGAAAGAACTGCACGTAAATATATAAGCAATGCTTATAATTTAATAAGAAAAAGACACATGACTCATTATGAATATGAGAAAAGAACAAGTGCTTCACCAAGGAGGACATATTGACAAACATATGAAAAGGTGCTCAAAACAACTTGGATGCTCATGAACAGTATTATGGAATAAAAAATGGTGGTTGGTTTATGCGACAAAGTACAGATGATGAGAATGAATGAAATACAGCTTAGTGACATGATCTGGATGGATCTCAAAAATATAAGGATGAGTGGAAGAAGCTGGACACCAAAATACACATTCTGTATGATTTCATTTGTATACATCAGCTACAGTGCTAAAAAGTCAAGAGAGTGGTAGCCTTTGTGGGGGCAGTGACTAGAGGGGATAGGAAAAGGACTTCTGTGGGGCTGGTAAAGTTTATTTATTGATCTGTATGGTCTTGATCTTATGTGATCTTTAATCCAGGAAAATTGACTGAGCTATACATTTATATTTTTATAAATAAATGAAAAAATGTATATTCAATACAATGTTGTCTTAACGTTTTATTATATTTTCACATAGCAATTTTAAGTTTTGAATCTTTATGTTTCTATCTGTAATTGATGTGTAAGATTTGTTTATATTTTTAACATTTTAAAATCGAATCAGATTTCCATTTTGACCAACATCATTTAACAAATAGGTCATCCTTCTTTGTTAAGTTGGAATAATTTTACAATAATTAAGTTTCTCTAAAGGCATAGATCTGTTAATATAATCCCTATGCTGTACCATTAACCTCTCTGTATATTTCTGTGCTAATTCCATACTGTTCTCATTATTTCATGTTTTTGGTATGCTTTGATATGGATATGATATGGATATGGATGATTGATATGATATGGATAGGAGAGTCCTTCTTTATTATTCTTTAAATATATATTTGCTATTTGCAGCCTTTAACCTTTCAGATTAATTTTTAAATGTATGTAAATTTCTATTAAAAATCCAAAGTAATTTTAATTCAATTTTACTGAATTTAAAACTTAGCTTGCAGAAAACTTGTACATTTAATTTTCATTTTTTTTCCTCTAGAGATGAAGTATATATTCCTATTTATTAGGGTATCATTTTGTTTTCTGTTGTAAATTTCTATTTTATTTTTTATAATATGCTCTCACATTTCCTGTTAGATATATTTCTGGCAAGTTTTAGCTTTTTTCCTATATATATTTCTATTATACTTCTAATAAGTTACATTCTATGTGGAAATCTATTGATTTATGTTTATTCTGAATGTAGTCGCCTACTGAGAACTTATTATTACTAATAATTGATTATCTTCTCTTTCTAATATTTATAATTCATCTCATTTTCTTACATTTTTGCATTAGTTAGCCTTTTCTGGACAATGTTAAATAATATCTCCAATACTGAGGAAGTTGTCCTTGTCTTCACTTTCATGGGACTTCTTATAATAGTTTAATATTATGATGTTTTCTGTAAGTAAATTTATTTATATTACGGTTCTCTAGACATTTGTTAAGGTGATATATTATTTTAGACTTGATTTAAGTTCTAATGTAAAAAGAATGAAAATGAAAGACACATCTTAGAATAATTTACGCACACCTAGTGTTCCAGGTCTTCATCATTCCTGCTTTGAAAGGAGGCAGTTGGCTTTGAGACGTCCTCATATGGGGAATATGTGGGAGCTAAATACTCATAGTCCATGTTGCAGATTCATATACAGCAGTCCCCGCCCTTATCCCTGAGGATACATTTGTTCCAAGACCCCCAGTGGATGCCTGAAACCTCCCTTAGTACTGAACCCTATATGTACTATGTTTTTTCCTGTACATGCACACCTATGATAAAGTTTAACTTATAAGTTAAGCACAGTAAGAGATTAACAGGAATAACTTCTCTTTGGCCTATCCGAATTGCCAGCATCACTGCCCTTGTGCTTTGAGGCCATCATTAAGGAAAGTAAGGGTTGCTTGAACACAAACACTGCGATGCCCCAACAGTCAATCTAATAACCTAGACAGCTAGTAAGTGACTAACGGGCAGGTGGCATCTATGACATGGATCCTCAGGACAAAGGTATGATTAACATTCTGGGTGGGATGGAGCCGGACAGAGGGAGATTTCATCACATTACTCAGAACGGCAAGTGATTTAAAACTTTCAAATTGTTTATTTCTGGAATTTTCCCTTATATTTTTGGATCATGGTTGAGTTTGGGTAACTGAAACTGCAGAAAGCAAAATCATGGATAAAGGGGGACTACTTATTTTTACTGAAATTTAGGAGGAATTAAGAATATAGATTTTTGCCAATCCTCTAAATTTCTAGTCTATCCTGATACAGTACATGTTTCTATATAAACAGCTTATTTGAGATTGTTAAAAAGAAAAATGGTGTTAGCATCATGTGAAAATTATGTGGGTGCTTGCAACATTTTCCCTAGGCAAGTGGAGTTGATATAGTAGAATTATAACCTATAACAGGAAAAGAAAAATGCCTCAGCTCGTATTCAGCACAAAAAAGGAGCTCTTTCAGATCCATGTGTACCTAGGAGCCTCTCCCAGCTGGACTCCGCCTTGCCTTGTTCAGCTCATGGTTCAGGTCAGGTTGCCTCCCTCTGTGCCTCTTAAACGATGGCTTTACAGATGCTGAGCTTGTCTGCCATCCGCTACTGCCCGAAGCCAGCATTCTCACTCTACTGGTCTCGTGGATTTTTCATACTTCTTGAGAAGCCCTTCAGCCACTATGTGCTGCCCCCTACACTTGGCAGGCACTCTCTCAAAGTACCAGTTATCATTTAGATTAATACTATCATGACAAAGGTCAAAGATTTTGAGTGGTCTGCAGCATAATTGTCCCATAATCCCTGTTATTTTTGGTATATCATTTAAAAGAAGTCAAGGTGTTTAATGAATGCATATATCATGTTCAAATGGAAATGCTTATAAAAAAGTACTTAAAATGGAAATTTGTATATATAATATATATATATATAATATATATATATATCTGTGCAGGGCAGGGGGAGTGGCTGGCTGGTAGCACAAAAGCCCACTTGGGGACCTCCGGGGAACTCCCCGACAATCAGTGTTCCTGGGAAGAGAGCTCCGCCAGAGAGGAAGAGTCTGAGGGAACTCAGGCAGGCTGTGCAGACCTAGAAGAAGCCGTCTGACACTCAGACCTGGGTCAGAGGAAAATCAGGGCTGACAATGTAGAATACGCACATTCACTCTGTGGTGCCACATGCTGCCTTCGAGAAATGCTATGTATAAGGTTATGTGTATAAATAAGCTCTATGAGATTGTGTGTTTGGAGATAAAGTTGAAGGACAGCCCACAATGTTTTATTCTTCATTTCTAAACAGATGCTCTACCTAATAGAGAAAATTTCCCAGGTAAACTTCAAGTGTTAAACAGCAATAATATTTTTAAGGTGTACAAGCTTTCAAATAGAAATCCCACTTTATTCCTATTATACCACCTCGTAAAATACACATACCACCCACACCATTTCATATTGGCATGACTTTGCACTCTTTTATGATTTACTGCTTCCTTGGGCTGTACCTACCATCACAGCTGGGTAACGCGTGGTTCCACTGATGGTTCCTCTCACAGACAAGTGGCTCATCATCGCTTAGTGTGTATCCTGGATCACAGCTAAAAGTCACTGTAGATCGGATGCCAAAGTTACTGCCATGCCGCCGACCATTTACAGGGATCCCCGGATCGAGGCAAGAGTCTGACTCTAGAGTCACACCTAGATGCACAGAAAAATACATTATAGAAGGACTTTTCTGGTTTGTAGAAAAGAAAAAAATATTTGTGCCAAAGTATATATAACATATTCCCAGACATTATCAGAACTGGAAAATTATGCAAGTGAAGTCAACAATTCATTCATATAAAAAGCATTCATTTTCAAATTTGCGAGTCTGTTTTTCTGTAGAGATGTGTATTGTTACACTGTTGGCCAGATGATCTAAGGTACGACCTTGAACGCTTCATTGACCTCTCTGAATTTTACCTTTCTTCATCTGAAAGCCAATGAACTGTGCTAAAGGAAGTCTAAACCTTTCCATTTTCTGCCTCCATCCCTTTCCCCCTCCTTCTCCTTTCTATATTTTATGTTCCAATTGGATTTTGGTAGTCATACTTCAACTGTGATATATATGCATACACATACCCAAGCCCATACACATATAATGCAAATGAAAACTGCACTGGAGTTGATTTTCTAAAATTGCATTCCATAAATCTATACATTTTTTAAAAATTTGCACTTAAGTCAGCCACTTTTGAGATGGCTACAATTAGCCTATGCCAAAAGATGTTAAAAAAGTGAAGTGCTATATAAAGTCAAGTAATTATGATCACGTCATTATAAGAGTTTCTTTCTCCATCTCCCACATTTCTCTTCTGTCTAGAATAATATATATTTTAAAAGATAAGGGAAATGGGAATAAAAGAAGAGGATATGATTATAATGTTTATGAATACAAAGAAATAAAAAAGACTTTGCTATTGCTATCATAACTCTCTCCATACGTTTCAGAATATTACAATTATGATGGGAAATATTAATCAAAAATCGTAAATTTTTATCAACATTCAGACTCTTCAGTCCCAAAATGATCTTTCAAATAACATTTCTGATCATTGCTTATATTTTACCATGCAAAACAACTAAGGGGTGACTTTTTAAAATAAATAATAACTGATAATATTTCTTCATTAGTACAGTAAAACGTGTTTCAATAGGAATAGGCACATAAGCAGGACAGCTGAGCCACTGTTCAAAAATGTGTAGTAAGGAATGTGATTTCAAGGAGCGATCCAGCTCCTGGGGGATCACCTCTAAGCCCTTGGGATTTCCTGAGTGGCGGGAGCGTCTTCGTTATTCATAAGGGGGCCGTGGACCACACCTGACAGTTTATATTCACCAGTAGCTGGGGGTGGGCCCCTGAGGCAACATGATTTCACTCTAACCTACAGGGAGGAGGCACGTGAAGACTGAGTTCAACCATGTGGGCAATGATTCAATCAATGATGCCTGTGCAATGAAACACCAACAAAATCTCTGGCCAGGGAAGCTCAGGTAAGCTTTCCAGGTTGACAGTATACGGTCACACATGATGGCTGAGGGGAGGTGACACCAGTCATGACTCCACGGCAAGAAGACGGCTAGAAGCTTTGAGGCTAGACCCATTTCTGGACTCTACCCTCTGTGCCTCTTTCTCTTGCCAGCTCTAAATTGTCTCCTTTCCCTGTAGAATGTAGCAGAATGTAGTAGACAGACTTTGCACTCTCCAGGTCTCTGCCCTCAACCTCACAGTTTGGTTAACGATGGGTAAAAAACAATAGAAAAGACTATCACAGTGAGGTTTCCAAAGGAAAAAAAATAAAACAATGAAAAGAAAAAGTACCAATGCGAAAAAAATAGAGCATCATTTTTCCCAAGAAATTTTTCTTAAATGGTCATTCTCATTTCATAAAAAACAGCATGTCTATTGTCCTAAACAACAGATGCAAGCACACCTTCCATCCATGCAGGAGGCAGATTCTGCCAAAGCAACACGGGCATTGCTTGTCCCCAAATTCATCATCTGCACTGCTCCTGTCTCTCTCTCCACACACACACGCACACACACACACACACACATGCACACACATGCACACACGGGCATTCGTACTCTAAGGCAGTGTCTATGACCTCTTTCATAACACCCCAAAGATCGTATGCAGCATCTGTACAGTGTGTATAGTACCAGTGTACAGTGGGTGCATAAGATTGGCTGATTGGTTTTGTAGCATCAAGATCAATGTAACAGTTCTCTCAAAAGAAGAAGCTTTGCCAAAGAAATGGTTTAGTCTCTAGGTTCCTGAAAAACCAATTAACTAAATTATTCCATTTTATCAAATGACTTCCCATGATCACTAAACTACACTATACTCACTGCACTGCTGTGAATAACAAAAGTAGGAAATATTATTTTAGACAATGTGAGAATCATGTATTAACATTATTCAATAGTATCCATAATGAAATCTGTAAATGGTAAGCAAACTTTTTCACCCATAAAATTTGTATGGAAAAAAGAGAAAAATATGAGAGGAAATCTAAATATACAAATTTAAATTTAGGATTCTTTACATGTGAAAGTGAACTAAAGAATAAATAAAAGTGTTAAAGTCATAACTGCTGGTTAGTATCAACTATATTCTATTGTTTAATCCTTCAATCAGTTTTACAAAAAATGGGCAAAAATATTGAGTTATGAAATGTGCAGATATTGTGCTCCTTAGCATTACAGATTACCTGAGGATTTTTATTACATGCGAGGATAAATGTTGAGCGGTAGAAGTGCAATAGATTTGGTGGTCAATTCACCTGAAACACGCCATATATAGGAACCAGGAAACGATGACAGGAGGAAAGGGCATGGAACCATAAAGGAAGGGAAGTGGTTTAAAGGGACGAGACCTTTCGGAGAATCTAAAATCAGACTGTGGGGACAGGCACTCAGCACTTTGAAGGGAAGGCCCAACAAAGAGTTTCAGAGTACCGTTTAGAGCATCTTTCCCCTTCTTGTCTCCAGCCACAAAGACACAAAGAAAAAGGTGGAGCAACAGGTTTTATTGAAGCTCTAAGTACATCCAGATGCTGCTCCAAGTGTTTCTTACTTGAAACTTAATGCCACTATGAGCTTTTTGATGCTAATATTATAAATATACTTCATTTCATTTGGCCTCTGTCAAATAAGTGACTGAATAAATTTGCTGTTTTGTGAATAAAGGAAGATGATTACTTTGCAAAGCTCCATGTGCAGATTATATTAATGTATATTTGACATAAGTGAAGTTCTGTTCGGCTATCTATTCTTACAAAAGTTCCAATCTGAAGAAGGGAGTAGATATTCCCTGAGTAAAATCTTTTATCTGCCAGCTTTAGCTTAATCACTTTACACAGCCTCCAAAAGGGTTTGAAATAGCAGTTACAATCCCATTTTACAGATGAGGAAATAGACCAAGAGACTAAGTAAATTGCTCACATCATATTATTTACTGAGCTTCAAACCTAAGTCTTTGTCTATTTTTCTCTCTTCTCTCTCTCTCTCTCGTGTGTGTGTTGCATCCATTTTTCCAATTGTATTGCAAATATTAGCATTACATCTTGACTGGCCTCCCTTTTTAATCATAAAAAAAGTCACTGAATCTCAGGAAACTAATCTGCACACAGTCACTTAACAAAACTTAGTCCTTTGACCATTGCAAATTTTTAAAAATTGCATATGAATTGTACATGAATTGAGTTGTAGGATATATACATTTACACGTATGCAATCTTGCTTCTTTCTTGAAATATTATTAAAAATATACTTTTGAAAGCAGTTGTAAGAAATGCTCTAAACATAGATTTTCACGTGCTCATCTGGGCATGAAGTGGAGTCATTAACAGTCTTTTAAAGCAAGGATGTTTTACAATGTCGATCATATGCTTGCATATTTGCTTCTGAACATATTTCCTCAAAGGGTTCTAGAAATGGTCAAAATCGTAAAGGGGTTGGAATATGTGCGTTCTCCACGTTTGTCTCCTCACCCATCTCTGCCTTTCTCCCTAGGTCCTTCATCACTCTATGTTCCCCCGCACATGCCTGCAGGCTCTCTGTCCACCTGGTACCCACGTGTCAGGCCTACATTTGTCATGGCCTACCTGAGCTGTCTTTGACAGCCACTGGCACCTGCAAGCCACCTCCTTCAGAAGCCCTTTGAGGACTCGATCAGAAATTCAGAATTCAGGCCTGCCCAACAGATGTACTGAATTACAATGTCCAGATCTGAGTTTAGGAGTCTGCATTTTACTAAAACCCCCAGGTGAATATTAATGCACAGTAATGTTTGAGAAAAACTGTTCAGCATGCTCTCTAAACAGGGATGACCATGTGAGTGGTCAGGGAGCTCTCGAAAAGTACTTAGGTCTTGATACCACTCGCAGAGGCAGCAGCCTAGAACATCTGAGCTGGCCTTCTGGCATCTGCATAGTTTTAAAGCCGGTAATTACAACCCCAGCTGACAACCACTGTGTTAAAGATCCCAGGCCTTTCCTGCCTCATTTTCTTGTAAAAATGACTTTCCTTCCTTTCTCGTAAAATACACAATGATCAGTAAATACACTGAGGTGATAACAAGTCAAGCTTCAGTGTGACATCCTTCCCAGTAATATTTTCCCAGTATACTTTCAATGCTTTCACCCAGAAGGATGCACAAAAAATGTATGGAGACTTCTGGAGGGACCACTAGGGGTTCACAGTATGAATGTGGGTGAATGTTGAGACCACTGTCCCTTCTAGGAGGGTTGATGCTGTGACGACATCTTGCCCATCCTGTCACCTGTGGAGGGCTCTGCCCTCATCAATGACTACAGCTCCCCACTTTTCCAATGAAGTAGGAAGGAGCAGGAATTCTCGACTCCAGGGGATGTGGAATTTCTGACATGCACACAATTATCACTCCACTACAAATGCACCAGCTTGGTAATTGTTTTCATCTTCTTTTTATTGAAGGAAGAAAGAAAAGTTGCAAAAAGTATTGTTCTCGAGGGGTCGCTCCGGGTTAGGGAAGCAAGCCTTCCAAGGGCTCAGGTCTACTTTCAAGTACAGGATAAATCACAAGAACCCTGAACCACAATCCAGCCACTCTTTTAAGATTATAAAGATTATTGTTAGAAGTAGCTGCCTATTAAATTAAATTATTATATTAGTGAGGATGACAAGCTAAATAGGAACTTGTGAACTGACTTTCTATCATTCTTTGATTTTTAAGAAAGAAAGAATAAAAGCACCTCATTTATGTAAATAATTTAGATGAGCAATGGAGATTAGTTTCTACTGTCTGCATATGGGCTTTGAACACATTTCTTCAAAGGGTACTGGTAATGGGCAGAATCACCCATGGGTACATGAATAAGAGAGAGACAAGAGAAGACAGAAAGACTCTATTCGACTATTTACCAGTGCCTGAAAACACCAATTCTCTTAAGTTTCATCCAACTATATCTTCAAAGGCCAAGCAATTCTAGTCTCAAAACCAGTGGGAGGTGAGGTGGAGAGAACAGAGCACTAAGCTGATCAATGGAGTTTTACAGACTCAGATGATTGTAACGTGCATACATCTTTACTCCAGAACAAAGGGATAAAGAGGTATTAAAAACAGCCGAAAAATAAAATTTCCTGGTTCTTAAATTGTACTTCAAGCTTAAAAAATATGTTACTTTGAAATAAATGCTACATGTTTATGAAGCCAAACTAATAACTGAATTCAATTGAAATTACTCTTTAAATCATTAATAATCAATTCTCTTGCTATCAGGATAAGTAGAATATAATTCCGTCTTTTAATAAGAAAGTACACACAACTTTATATGTGTATATGCACATATATATATATGTTTGCATGTAATTATACTCATGAGCATGTAAAACAGAATTAAACACAAGTTATTAATTTGAGTTCATTGGAAAGGTTTGGGCAGAGCTTTACATAGGTAGTAGGAGGTGATGTGGAGGAAAGAAAGGCAAGAAAAAGAAAAGAAATATTGACTAAAAATCCAGTGTGTTAGCGGCCAGCCTGGTGGCATAGTGGTTAAGTTCACCTGCTCTGCTTTAGCAGCCCAGGGTTTGCAGGTTTGGATCCCAGGCATGGACCTAGCACCGCTTGTCAGCCATGCCGTGGTGGCGTCCCACACAAAAGAGAAGAAGATTGGCACAAGATGTTAGCTCAGGTCTAATCTTCCTTACACACACACACACACACAAATCCAGCACGTGAGATATGACCTTGTTTGCGCATTTGTAAAATTATATGTGTGGGTGTATGTAAGCATATATTTTTACAATAACATTGAAACTTCGTTTTGTTTATTTTGGGAAAAGATTCTGATAAAGGACAGCCACAGAAGTCCTGCAAAATAAGACTTTTATTCCTTCAGATCTGAAGGTGAACTTCACTCGTCCACCTTCTTCCATTCTACTCTGAAAGTGAAGCGTTTTCAAAGAAAAGAATAATTGCTGTTATTTTTAATTGACTGGTGTTAAAATTTATTCTGAGGATGAATCTCCCTCAGCTATACTCCAGAAGTATATTTGCATAAATAGTACTGTAAAATAATGTAATGATTTGAAATCCTAATTTCACAAGCTAGAAAGCCTAAGAGCCAAATTTGAACTTACAGAAACAAAAATGGGAAGGAATACTTGATATTGGGCTGCCTTGCAAAATACACTGCATTATAATATTTTAGCAATTGTGTTTAAATATTTCCAACAATTGTTCTTCAATATTTTTAACAATTTTTAAGATTCATAGTTATTTGTCATTTATCAAAATTTGGCTGGGTTTTAATTCCTTCTCCTCTCTCAGTCATATGCTCTTTACCTGGTGAAACTTGTCTATATGGACTGATAGATAAGCACCACAAGTGTCCTAACCATATATTTCTAGTAGAAAATATTGCCCAGGGGGCCAGCCCAGTGGTGTAGTGGTTAAGTTCACACACTCTGCTTCAGCGGCCCAGGGTTTCGCCAGTTCGGATCCTGGGCACAGACCTAGTACTGTTCATCAGGCCATGCTGAGGGGGTGTCCCACATGACAGAGCTGGAAGGACCTACAATTTGAATATACAGCTATGTACTGGGGGGCTTTGGGTAGAAGAAGAAGAAGAAGAAGAAAAAAAAGAAGATTGGCAACAGATGTTAGCTCAGGGCCAATATTTAAAATATATATATATGTGTATATATATATATACACACACATATATATATATATTTATGTTGCTCAGGATGGAGGCCTCCTGGTTGCCTAGTGGTTAAGTTCGTGTGTTCTGCTTCGGCAGCCCAGGGTTCACAGGTTCAGATCTTGGGCGTGGACCTACACACGGCTCATCAAGCCATGATGTGGTGGCATCCCACATACGAAATAGCGGACGATTGGCAGAGCTGTTAGCTCAGCAAAAATCTTCCTCAAGCAAAAAGAGGAAGACTGGCAACAGATGTGAGCTCAGGGCCAATCTTCCTCATCAAAAAAAAATATATATATATATATATATGAATTATATATATATGGCTCAGGATATATAATTTTAGTCCTCTATCCTATAGGTCCTTTGGCCAATAGGTACACTTTTTAATAGCAGAAATTTATTACTACATCACATATTAAATGAACACATTTCATTGTTTTAATTATTTCGTTATTTTACTTTATAATAAACTAGCATGTCTTTTTCAGCTTTAAAGCAAAAATCCCCAACACGCTCTCTCATTAATAACAGGAAGTTCTCGCGGCGGTGCAATGCACTGTGCACAAAGGCAGTCAGGATCCATCCGTCGGTGCGCCTCTCTGCACGCTCGGAAATGAGCACCTGTGTCCTGAGCCGACACCCGCCCGCCCCACCACGTCCCTGGAGATGCGGACGCTGACTTACTCTCGTAGTGAATGAGGAAGCCAATGCTGGAGCGGCTGTTGTCCGTGGTGAAGAGCAGGTACATGAAGTTCCCCGTGCTGATGAGGAACTGCGGGGCTTGCGTGCCGTGGTACTCGCCGATCAGCGGGGACGAGCTGGCCGGCCCGTCTCTGACTTCCAGTGTGTCATAATTGACTTCGGTCTGAAATCTGCGGTGACACGTACCCAGATAGAAAAGACATGCAAAGCCACATTAACTTACAGATCTTCCCATAACATCTTCATTCATTAACTAAAGCCCATGGGTAGCAATAGAAATAAAATATTTACAGTTATATATACTTATTAAAAACTTGGATACCTATAATAGTGAAGGATAGCACTTTTTTCTAGGAGTATTCCTATTGAGTACTTTATCCTGTAACATCACAAACACAAAAGAGGGCAGTCATTCAGCTCTAAAATGAAAATGCTGTGAACCAGATTAGCTTTCAGAAAGAAAGAAAGGCCTAAGTAAATAAAAAAATCACCAATTAGTGAAAACTCGATCATTATGCATTTTCAAATTACTTTTCATCATCCTGTATAACATGATTATGGATATCTTAAAATGAGCATAAGTGAAGTGAAATGATCTCTTAAAGAAAGGGGGTAATTCAAAATATATGACAATACTTAAAATACCTTTCACAAAAAAAACCTCCTTTGTCTTTTTAAGTTGCATTAACTCTTTCAGGACATAGAAGGGCATGTAGCACATTGCTGCTTCAGAAACTAAAAGCTACATCAGTGATTTGAAAAAGTGAGAATGGCTTCCGGAAAGTGCTGAACTTTTCTTCCAAGGACATGATGCTTCCAGAGAATCTGGCCCCATGTTCCATTTATATCCAGTTGCAGCCACTTGGGTCCTCTTGGAGGCAATGAGGGTACCATTCCAGGCACTGAGATAATATTCTAAATGGGCCCGTCTAGTCCTCAAAGAGCTAACCCGGTTTCCAAGCGTCCGCCTGTGCTCCCAGGGAGCAGCTTATGCATCGTGAGCCTGGGAGGCACTCAGTGGCTTTCAGACAAAGAATTCCACGGAAGCTTGCACCTTACCCCCATGCTTTGCATCCAATATTGCTAATCGGGAAGGAGAGAGGGGGAGAGAGCGAGCAAGCTATCTTAGCTTCACGGCATAGAACTACAAAAAAAGATGCTGAAACCAAAGGGCTCTGCTCTGCCCTGTTTACCATTAAGTCATAGAGCCCCCTCTTAGTGCAAATGCACAATAATGATATGTCCTTGCAACCACCTTAGCATAGTCCCCTGATCCCGGATCTTCCATAAAGAGGAATTCAAACAATTGGTGCGTTATGTGGCTAGGCCAGCATACGGCCACGGGCTGGGCCTTTGGTGTCAGTGCAGCTTTATATTCCACTAAACAAAACCAAACTCATAGATTCAGAAAACAGACTGGTGGTTGCCAGAATGGAGGGGGGTTCAGGGGTGGGTAAAATGGGTCAAAGGGATCAGCAGGTACAAACTTCTAGTTATAAAATCAATAGTCATAAGGATGTAATTTATAGCATGGGGACTATAGTCACTGATATTGTATTGCAAACTTTAATGGCTAAAAACCTAAACCTTAAAAGTTCTCATCACAAGAAAAAAAAGTGTTGTAACGTTATATGGTGATAGATGGTAAATTGACTTAGTGTGGCAATCATTTTGCAATATATACAAATGTCAAATCATTGTATTGTACATTTGAAACTAATAAAAAGTTGTATCTCAAGTATAATTCAACAAAAAAAGAGAAAAAGATCCTATGTCTTTCAGTAGTCTGAGGTCAAATTCAAGAAGTCTAGGTAAGCGTGAAATAAATCTCATTTGAAATATTTGCACTAAAGTTTTCACATCTTCTTTCTTTAGTGACAGCTAGGACTAACAGCCTGTACACTTCAACAGTGGAAAATTTCCAGGAAAACCTCAGAAAGAGAAAAATCTGAACACTTTTCATTATTAGGCAACCTAACACACATTGTATAACAATAACATCAGTATGACATTTAAAATTGTCCGTACAAACACATCCCTTATTAGGATATGAGCCCACAGCTTAAGGTATAAACTAATATTGCACTATGTAATTAACCTTCAAAGAGTTGTGTTAAATCACAAATGTCTGAAAATATCAGAAATGTTCGTACTTACAAATGGAATTCAGCAAATACCACAGTTCAATAATATTGAAAAGACAAGATTGAAAAAAATCATGTGAATATCTTTGTTCAGGCAACTGAAAATGGAGTGCTAATAAATTGTGCCAAACCAGAATGTAAAATCACTATTTTTACCAAATAATCTAAATTTGATGTGCCTGCTGGGAATCAAAATGTGCTTCTGCTCTTTTCCCTCTCAATACTACAAAGTGGAAAATTAGTAAGAAACCAAACAATTTAGTGAATATTTGTAGAGTTAATTTCCCAATGATTAAGATTATACACAAAGATCCATTCTCCAATATAATGAAGATATAAATGAAAATTTTTCTTTTCTTCTGAGAGATTGTTCTACTGGAGATCATTATGATTCTATCAAAGATAAGTAATAAAATGAATAATAATTTCAAATGCAAATAATTACTAAGAGATAATGTAACTCCCATTAAAAAGTTTTTCTGTATGGATGCTATCATTGGCTATTAGAAAATTAGTGAAAAACAGAAAGAAGAATAATATAAGAATGTTCATGTGTCTTGAGACATTATAATATTCTAAATGTCAAAACCCTAAACTCAATCTAATCAAGCAGAAGGTCATTGTTAGAGAAAGCCCTATGTTGCTCAGAGACTAAGCTTGAAGCGCTAAACAACGATGCTTCCTTATATTTTAAAACACATAGTTCATTCCAAAACATTCTTGGTTTTTAATAATCAAATTCATGTCATTGTTGAGGCAAATGGAAAAATGTTTTGCTATGGACAATTCAAAAAGCATGGTCATCTGTTTTAGATCATCAAATACATTCTCAAATAGCTAAGCCGAAGAACATTCCACTGATAGAACCACTCACAAGTAATTAATCTGTGATACACACTCCATAGCCAGGTCTGCAACTTAAAGTCACCCGTCAGTTACCAATGGCCATCACAAGACTGGGAGAGCTGTTTTCCTGCACTGTTCCAGAAGGGAGCTAAGGGACCAAAGGGGCTTCCGTGTTCAACCAAACAAAAAGCAGAATGGATTCCATCCAAAGCTCCAAAATCCAGAGTGGGACTCAAGGGCCAGCCACCGTGAGCCCTGGGAAATGGTCATCCAGGACCACGTCGCCTTCAATCAAGTCTTCAGAGGTGCCTTAACTGTGAACTTAGAGGATAAAACTCAAGAAGAAAACTTACTGAGCAAGTGCTTGTTTCTTTTTAAATGAACTCCTTTGGGGGAACCAATGAAGAACTGTCATATTTCTAAGTTTGAAGATCGATTTCAATAAAACCATTGCACATGCACGGGTCATTAGGTCCAAATTAAGAAACAAAACGGTTTTCCTTACCTATCAAAAGTTATTTTGATAGAGTGTCCTGGTTTTGCTTCAATTATCCATTCACAGTTTAAAGAATCTTTATAATATCCTGGCCATCCGGGAGGCAAAATGACTCCGCTAGAAGCTGTCAGATGTCCACCACACGGGGCTGAAAGATGATGCACAGGATATCAGTAGTTCAAACTAAATATATTAAGTTGTACCACAGTGACACGCCAATTACAGCAGAAATTTGTTCTTCTGTGTTCATGGATTCAATGTTTTCAAGTATACTAGCAAAACTTATCCCTAAGTAAGTTCATTGAAAGCAGAGCCTACATATTCCATATCTGGGCATTTATCATCAACTCACAGCAAAGTTCTTTTCACCTCCTAAAGGTAAGGTGTAAGTGGGCGCTCTGTGCTAAATGACTTCCATGAATTATCACATTCAATTGGCACAACAAATTCATGAGGCGTTAACACTATTGCTACTCATATTTTACACTTTCAGAACTGAACAATCACCTACTGCTTAGCAAACTTAAAATTACCTGACGTCTAAAATTGAAATATTCTGTGGTGTGTATGCTTGTGTGTGTGTATGCAGAGAAATATGTTTTAATGATATATGTGCGTGTTTATTCACTTTGAGTTGTGTTCATTTTCTTGAAATAATTTGCCACATACATCATACAAAATTGGCGAATGTTAGAAAACAAAGCAAAATTTTCAAACAAATTCAATAAACATAGATTTAGTCTGCATCATTCCCTTTGACATGCTCTGCAATAAGCAATGGTCCACAGTTACAAAGAAGAAAAGGACTCTGGAGGGATGTGCCTGCTGTGCAGGAAAAGTGATTCTGCATTTCTGTATAATCCACAGGAATTTTTAAATAGCATGTCGATATTTAACATGTTTCTGCCTAGACACATATTTTTTCAGATTTTATCTATTTTTTCTCAAAGTCCTTTGCCATCTTTGTAATCATCTTATGAATATATGTATATCAAATAAAATATACAAAAATGTTCCCAGTTAAAAAATATATATCATTTCTTAAAAGATATGTCTTTTATGGAAAAATAGCAATAGGCATTAAAATGTTGAAAAATTTTATAAAATTTTATCTAGACTTTGGTACTAGAAAAAAAAATCTGACAAAGAGAAATCTATAGAAGTAATCATAGTAGCTTCACTTATAATAGAAAATAAAAGAGAAAAAAAAAAGTTAAAAATTAAGAAAAGAAGTGACCACATATTGGAATGTCACAAATACATCTGAGGTAATGTTTTGAAATTTTGTTACTATGAGAAAATCTTTGCAATAGAATATTATACTTTTTAAAGCAGGATACAAAATTGTACATATAGTATAATCTAAAGTTAATGAGAAAAATTTTACTACAAAAAAACTAGTGATGGAAATTTAAAAACATGTTAATGGTGGATAACAATGTGATTGCTTTGTGGAGCATGTGTTTTTCCTGATATAGTTTCTTTTCCAAACAAGCTGCAATAGGTATGAATTATGTCTGTAGTTAGAAATATATAAGAAAAAATCAGCATCATTTTTCTGAATTGAGTTCTTGAAGAAAACTGTCATTACTTTAGACAATGAAAATTCTGAAAAACAACCTATTTTTACTAATTATCATTAGCATATTTTCTAGTTAAGTCCTTAAGTTCATATTTTTATCCTATGTCATCATATGTCCGTATAGATCAGTATTAAATATAATTTAATTCCTTTGCTTTTTGACACGTTGTAACAAACCTTTTTTAGAATACAATGTAAACTAAATTAAACATATTAATTTTACCTATTTCATGTTTAACTATCCAAAGATACTATATAAGAAAAGCATATAGTAACAGATTTTTTTAAAAGTTTGATACATGAGACATTTCTAAATCTATATGATGAATTCTTTCCTATGTCTTATTTCCCACAGAAATATGAAACTATAAGTTTGCTTTAGTGAAGCTTTCTATAAATCTTGAGTTGTCACATTTCTTGGAATGTACCTAAATTGTCACACGTTACTATTATTTATGTCTTGTCTTTGGCATATCATTTTATAATTTATAGTGCATTTGAACTTTAGAACTTGTATCACTTTATCCTGATGAAATAGACATTTTAATCTTTAAATTATAGATTATCAAAAACACTAAGATATTAAATGATCTCAATTGTTGCTGTATCAGCCAACTTAAATTAGGTTATACTGTGGTAACTAACTACTCCAAATGTAATAGCTATAAGAGAGACCTATTTCTCACACAGTCTAGGGGGCTGCCCCACAGCCTCTTTCTTCCAGTAGCTGCGGCACGTGGAAAAAGGTCTTGCTCTAGCAATCAAATGCTCTGGGCCATAAGTTGAATAAATCACTTCCATTATACCTAATTGGCCAGAACCTGTCACCAAATTTCATCAAACCATAAGGGAACCAAGAAGAGAAGTCCTACTTGGTGGAGATCCGGAATGTCTGGCGAACAGCACCAGTGACGTTCACATTGACACAGGTGATAATAAAAAAGCAAATATGTGAATGAGATCTTTGGAATGCAAATTCTCCTCTGATTTATTGACTCTCTGCATTGGTGAATTACCTGATACTGTATTCCTAAAATAATGCCCTCTTGGCTATACACATTTTTCTATAGTTTTATTTTTAACGTAATTATCTGGCTTGGGTATGCTACGTGAATACTGGCTGTATGAAATGTTATATAGGGCTTAGCCCATTTTTCCCATTATCTGTGATAACGTTCCCAAAACTAAAATTCTCTGAACTTGAAAGGTAGAGAACTTATTTATGCATTTCTTTAGTGCTGTGTCTTTTCCAATCTTTAACCTTTTTTCAAGTACTTTTTATGGTACTTTGTTTATTTACATTTTGCGCTTTTTATTTGGGTCACTTTGCATAATTTATATTTTGCTAGGAAATCAACAATTTCCTTTAAACTCTAAAATTTGTTGTTACAAAGTTGGTGATATATTCCTGTACAGTTATTTTTTCCCACAAAATAACTTGTGTTTTTAAGGACACTAAGCTGTGCTGAAGAATGGTGACAAGTTAGAGGCAGAACAAACAGGAATTTTTCATCCAGAGTCCACACAATATACACCTCTGATGTGCTGGCCTCCGATAAATTCTGCCAGAAGAAATAAGCAAGATACCTTTAAAAACTTCCTTTATTGTGAGCCTTTCACTCATTATATAAATTTATAATTAAGAACAATAATTTATTTTATTATATATTAAATTATGTTTTTTGTAATCACAGTTATTTCTCTTTTATTTTGCTGAATACCTATAATTTTCATTTCTCCTGGTTTCCTCATTATAATCATGGAGGGTTTGTCTATTTTACTGATATTAAAAAAGAACTAACTCTTGCACTGAATTAATGTTTCTAACATTTGATTTTTCTTAATGTAACATTCTAACTTATTTTTGTTTTTTTCCAATTTCTTAGCCTCAGCAATAAGTTCCTTTATTTTTTGTCTTTTTGTTCAACACCGAGGGCATTTTCTTCCCAGCGCCGGCTTTGTGGTCTCATGCTGTTTTTAATAGGAAAGATTCTCTTTCACAGGGTTTCCCAATAGCACATGGCTTATTGGAATTAATTAATATGACAAATCCAGTGTGATTTTTTTTTTTAAAGATTTTTATTTTTTTCCTTTTTCTCCCCAAAGCCCCCCAGTACATAGTTGTCTATTCTTCGTTGTGGGTCCTTCTGGTTGTGGCATGTGGGACGCTGCCTCAGCGTGGTCTGACGAGCAGTGCCATGTCCGCACCCAGGATTCGAACCAACGAAACACTGGGCCACCTGCAGCGGAGCGCACGAACTTAACCACTCGGCCACGGGGCCAGCCCCACCAGTGTGATTGTTTTAAAGAATTATTTTGACTTCCTTCTTAATACACAGTTCCTTGGAGCGGGCTTTTTGATTTCCAGACATTTGCCTGCGGTTTTATGGTTATCATATATTTACACTTTAATTGGAATGTGATCAGTGCACGTGGCCTAGACTTACTTTGATTTGTTAAAGTTCACCATATGACCAATTATATAACTGATTATAAAAAATGATCCTTGAGAAAAACAACAAACGTGTATTCTTTAAAGAATATGAGGTTCCTTATGCATCTCTTAAATCAAATCAAATTATTTGCTTGTATCACTCAATCTTTCATTGCCATTTGATTATTTCCAACTAGATCGATTTAATTCTGAAAGTAGGATTTCTATTTCTCTTCAGCAAGGGCACTGATTGGGGTATCTAGTCAATTACATTATCAGACTATCTACATACTTCTCTGAGATTCACCTGTGCTCAGTAATTGGGTTCTCAGTACAAGTAAACTTTAAAAATCTTTTTCACCGTTAAGTAGCCCTTTGTGTTAAGGGTTTTCTTTGTTAACAACCCAGAGCTGGGTTTTGCATTGAACTTCATCTGAAGTTCTCTTCCAAATAATGAGAGAATTGTCCCTTCACAGTTAATGCGACACTTTGTCCTCCTGGCTGACTTTATGTGAATCCTCACCTGCCGCTTACTGGCACCCCTTTCTTCCCCGACTGTGCTGAGGCACCTACCTGCCCTGCAGCTTACAAGGCACCTGCACACAGCCTATTACAGGGAAGCACACCAATGACAGCGAGAATCGTGGCCAGGAGAGGACAGAGACTGGAGAGGACTGTTTGTTTTAACCTTCTTTCTCATGAAATCATTCATGCTTCAAAGTCAACAGCGATACACTTGGCTGGAGCAGTGTCAGCAAACATATGTAATTATGCACCATTATTACTATCATTAGTCTGAGCACCCTTGAGTGTGTGTGTACTTCCTTAGAAAGGATGATAACCCATCCATTTATTAAATTTTGATAAAATGGAAAATATAAAAACCATACATTTAAAATACGTGATGAAAATAAATAAAAGTGAAAATCCTACTATTGTTTTCTTGCCATTCAATATATCAATTTTCCACCCCCGGGTGGTGCTCTTCGTCCACAAAATTGCTTTAACAATTTATGAAAGCGTGGAAACGAGTACTTCTTTCTGCAATTTTAGCAGAGTCAGCCAATGCTGACTCAAAATAGTACTGATCCTTAAAATAATGATGAATAACTTTGGAGGTAGGGCTGAAGGCAGAAAACCACTGCACCAAACTGCTGGTTAGCCAGCCAGGGGTTTCACCTCCCACATTTAGATTCTGCCTTTGTTTAGACCACCTGCAGGTCACAGTGCTGGTGAGGTTAGACCAAGGCATTCTGTGAAGGAGAGTAACCCTCAGTGGTAGGCTACATCTGATGTATATTTCTTTTCTATTTATCTATTATAAAAGAAATGCCTTCACTGAAGACGACTGAGAAAATTAAAATAAACAAAGAAAGAAAAAATCATCCATAATCAAAATTAATATTTTGGTATGTACCTTCCTTTTCAGATTTTTTATTATTATCATGAGATACTTATATATTTATATGTTTTACAAAATGGTATATTCCAACACAGGTGGTTGTATCATGTGATCTTTCACAGGATAACATACAATGAGCGTCTTCGATCTTTGTTAATGATGCATGTTATCCTGGCATATGAATGTGTCATGATTTATCTAACCAATCCTCTGTGAGAAATTTAGTTGTTTCCAGCTTTTTCTCTTATATTTAGTACTGCAGAAAGCATTCTTGAAAAAACATCCTTTCATAGTTGCTTGCATATGTCCTTATTATATTGATCCAGAAATATAATTTATAGCTCAAAAGTTAAGAAAAAGTTTGAGACCCTTGATATGAATTTACACCAAGACATCATGATTTTATACCCTCAATGGCATGGCCAGAAAATGCTAGTTATTCCACAACCTTACCAGTAGTACCTCTTATTAATGTGTGTAAATCTTTGCTCATCTGATAGGCAACATGGTATTTCACCTCCTTTTTTAAATTTGGATTTCTCACCAATCTGAAAAGGCTACATACTCTATGATTCCAACTATGTGACATTCTGGAAAAAGCAAAACTATGGAGACAATAAAAAGATCAATAGCTGCCAGGGGTTGGTGGGGAGGAAGGGATGAATAGGCACAGCACAGGGGATTTTTAGGGCAGTGAAGTTATTCTGTAAGATACTATAATGAGGGATACATGTCATTATACATTTGTCCAAACCCGTAGAATGCACAACATCCAGAGTGAGCCCTAATGTAAACTATGCACTTTGGGTGACGACGTGGCAGCGTGGGCTCATCCGCTGTAACAAATGTAGCCCCCTGGTGGGGATGTTGATCATGCAGGAGGCTGTGCAAGCAAGGGGGAAAGAGGGATATGGGAACTCTTTGTCCTTCCACTCAATACTGCTGTAAACACAAAGCTGCTGTAAAATATGTGTATTTTTAAAAATTTTTCATTTCTTTGGTATTAGTTGGAGATAAGGTTTTTTTTTTTTTTTTAGAAAAAGCTTTTCTTAGCTCATTGTGCACAGACTTCTGCTAGGGAAGCTGTAAATATATATTCTAAGTAAATAGTTTTTAATTGACTAATCAGAGGTAATATCCGTCTCCTTAAAATTTTTGTCTCTAGTTTTATTACATAGGTAATCAGAGTGGAAATGTTGAGAAGGCAGTACACATGTCAGCTACGTTAAGAGCCACCAAATAGCTAACTTAAAACTGCATTGTTGCTAGGGGTTGAATTCCGTCCCCTAGAAATTAATATTTTGGATTCCTAATCCCAGCGCCTCAGAATGTGACCCTATTAGGGTCACTGCGGATATAATTGGTTAAGATGAGGTCATCAGAGTGGGCCCTAATGCAATATGACTGGGGTCCTTAAGGGGGGGATGCTGGACCCAGAGGCATTCTCACAAGGAGAAAGCTGGGATGATGCCTCTACAAGCTAGAGAATAGCAAAGACCACCAGGAACCAGTGAAGCTGGGAGAGAGGCCCGGAACAGATTCTCCCTCACAGTCTCAGGAAGGAAACAACCCTGCTGACACCTTGATCTCGGACTTCCAGCCTCCAGCACTGGGACACAGTACATTTCTGCTGGTTAAGCTGCCAGCTTCGTGATACTTTGTTACGGCAGCCCTAGGAAGCCAACGCTGTTGCTGTTTTCTTTTTAAGTTGGATGTACCATTTCAAAGGAGAATAACTGGCAAATGATAGCCGACCTTCACAGCGGGGCACGGTGGAGCTCCAGACAACGTTCCCATCCTGCAGGATGCACGCAATGGACTCCGACCCCTGGGTTTTGACAAAGCCGTCATCACAGTGAAAAGAAACTGAACTCCCAAGTAGAAACCGGTCGCCAAAACGTCGTCCATTGATGGGAATGCCAGGATCATGGCACTCGTTTTGACCAAATGCTGAAAAAGAAAATAAGCAGAATAAAAATACTTGAGTATTAATTATGTGTGTTAAAAAAGAAGGAAACAGAACCTACTTATAAAGTAATTTGTTGTCCCAAATTCAGGTATGTAGTCACAGATAGATAAGTAAAGACAACAAATAACAGGATATTGATATCTAGTGAGACAGAGAGAGAGTGTGTGCATATGGACCAATAGCTATCACTACCATCTATATGGCATTTTACAGTTTGAAAACACTTTTCATATGCACTAAGAAAAAGAGAGAAGACTCAGGCAGGTGGTGGAAAGGATTTTGGTTCGGTCATATCTGTGTTAGAATCCTGGCTCTTATGTTTATTATATGACCTTGGGCATATTACTCTGATGATCTGAGCCTAGCTATCTTTATTTACAGAACGAGGAGTATCAAGTGTATATCCCAGAGTTACTGTAACATTAAATGAAATAATTACTGGCAGATCCTCTGCACAGTACCTAAGGGAAGTAGGCAGTCAGAAAATTATAATTTACTATTACTCATATTAACATTATTATTTGACTTTATCCCTCAATAATGCATTTAAGTAGATGTTCTTAAATATAATCTATTTTGTAAATGAGGAACCTGAGGCAAAGAAAAGTTAGCTGTCTTATTAAAATTCACTAAGTATGTATGAGTGCTGGTATTCTATTCCACAGCTCCTGATCCCAAATGCCTCACTCCTTTTTACCACACTATTTTGTTGTGTGGAGGATGGATGGATGGATGGATGGATGGAAGGCTGGATAGTTGGAAGAGAAGATGGACAGATGGATGGATGGAAAGAAGTCAGGAAGGGAGGAAGGAAAATCAGAGAGACAGAAAAGATAAGTGAGAGGTTCAATTCTTACTATAGGAGTGACCAAGCCACTAACCTAAAAAGAGGGATGCATTTCTTAGGTTATCAGGATAATTCTGTAGGGTTTTGCTACTCTCATCATTTCCATAGTGATTATAAACCCCTGAACTATCAGCCTTACATTCAACTTTGTATTCATGTAAATGGGGGGACCTGAGAGTGGTGTTGGTGTGGGAAACCTACTGGTATAAGTGATGTTGAACCCTCGGCCAGTGGTGGAGTGATCAGACTGAAACTCCAGGCGAACTATGTGCCCACTGCTGGCCAGCTGGGAGGGAACCTCATTGCCAGAGAAGGTGCCGAGGACGGTTATGTCAGAAATCCCATCGTCTTTGACCGCCAGGAAGTCAAACTGAGGCTCCACATCAAAATCGTTAAAGATGAGGTGAATTCTGCTTCCCGGCTCGGAGATAATCAGCCAAACACAGTTCATGTTGTTACCGTATTCCTCTGGATAATTTGGTGACAGAATGATCCCTGATGATGCAGTAAAGTTGAAGAAACAGGAAACTGTGAAGACAACGAATATATTTTCAGACAGTTTTGGGCATATTCAAAGAACTGGGCACATGAAACCATTGCTAAGAACCTGGGAAGGGAGTCCATATTTACAATCCTGTGGAGAGTTCGGGTTGTCCTATTTTTAAACTGGCAATTCTGGACCATAGCAGTTTCTCTTCCTGAAATTGTAAATAGAATCTTTCATTATATGTAGCACAACCAGAGCCTATACATGATCAAGTGTAGGCTTGATTCAAAAATGATCCTATCAAGTTGACTGGAACTTCTGGCAAATATTAGAATTCCTAGTTATAACTTTCTGCCTTCAGAAGAGCAAAAATTCCTAGGAAAAGTATGCCTGTGTCATAGGAACAATTTCCAGAAAATAATATTGGTTCCATTCAGTCTTCTGTGATAACTTTTCACTTTATATTTCATATTTGCCCTTAAAATGAATTTTTTCAAGTTATTTAAATTTTTATTAGTTACAGGATAACAATTAATAAATTATAACTTGGAAAATCAGACCATGATCTGGGTGGATGACATAGAAATATCTTGGAAAATTTTCTTTTAAGAACATGTCTTTAAAAATAAGTTATATATACATACTTTATTTTCCTCTTTTTTGGAGAGAGCACCTGTTGAATTTATCTCCAGCGTGTGGTTTTGCTTCTTATTCCACATAATTTCATATGGATTTTCCAGCCTTTGCTATATTTGGTTACCAAAAAAAAATCCTGCTTTTAAATTGGCTACAAAGTCTTTCTTTGTACTTGTTAAAACACTGTACTTAGGAGGAGGCAGGCCGGTCTTCAGCTGAAATCAGACACCATACCACTGCCCATGCTCACAACTTGTGCTAACCTGTCACGTGCATCGTTAAGACATAAAGACCCCCATTGCCCTACTGATGTCTCATACAGTCTAGCATCCCCAGCTCTTGATGGTGGCCGTGCTGTATGTTGCGTTCTTTCCAGGGGAAAGCTCTCAGCTACATTTTATCTAGTAGACGTCACAACGACACTGATTAGTTTTAATCAAGTGAAGAAAGTGGAGAAGGCGGTGTTTGAGAAGCCCGTGCGTGTTTCTGGTCAATGAGGCATTCTGAGGGATTCTGAAACCCGCTCTCCCTGAACACACGCTTGGGTGCTCTCTCTTTCTTTCTCCCTCAAGGCAGTCCTAGGACACAGGGGCCCGGTCAAGGTGCAGTACTCACATACACAGCTGGGCTTGTTGCCAGACCACTGGTTGTTTTGCTGACACGTGATAACCCTCTCCCCCACCAGCTCGAAGGCGGCCTGGCATTCAAAGGTGAGCGTGTCTCCGTGCAGGAAGCTGCTGCCAGTCCGCTTCCCGTAGGCAGGAACACCGGGGTCCCCGCAGCCTCCCTTTTCAATTTCTGAAAATAGGAAACACAAATGAACCATTAAAAAAAATACACGAGGAACATTTTTTAACGATTTAGAAAATGAACAGGTGGTTTATGTTTGCTGGTCTAAGCATCACTTTCATGAACAGTTTCGAAAGGATGCTCAATTCATCTTAAATGTTAGATGTAAATTTAATTACAAAAGCCACAAAAAGGTGTAATTTAAGTTTGAAAGAGATTTGATTTATTGTCTTTGAAGGGATACACAGGGCTACACAGATGTGTTGACAGTGCAGAGGTTACAACTAATACATGCCTCTTCCTGACCCACACGCTTCCTGCATGTTATCCACAATTGCTACACTAAAATGTACACACCAGTTTTGTTTTAATCTGATTTTTTTTTTTTCACTTTTTGGTCAGAAAGATTGGTCCTGAGCTCACATCTGCTCCAATCTTCCTCTTTTTTTTTCCTCCCCAAAGCCCCAGTACCTAACCATATGTCCTAGTTTGAAGTCATTCTAGTTCTTCTATGTGGGGCACAAGCACAGCATGGCTTGATGAGTGGTGCGTAGGTCCCCACGGGGGATCCGAACCGGCCAACCCCGGGCCACTGAAGTGGAGCATATGAACTTAACCACTACACCACTGGATTGGCTCCTTAATCTATGTGTTTTTTAATGTAAACAATATAAGTGAGATTGTTCATTCCCTACTGAATATTTAAATCAACATATCCATTAGAATACCCTTTCCCTTGAATTAATGTTAAAATTCATTGTTGGAGCAAAATGAATACATTTATGGTCTTCAGATGAAAAGAAAATATGCAGAATCAAACCTCTTTTCATTGAACCATGATTATATTGAAATATGAATACACATGCACCAAAACCACATGTATTTCAAACTTCGCTCTGTCTTAAATGTTAACTATATAGAATGCATTAACTAAAATGTGTTATTTATTTATTCATACAAAGACTATGTTTTGAGGGCCAACTATGTATCAGGCCCTGTTGTAGGTAGTGAAGTTAGTGAACAAACAGGACAAAATCTTGCACTCATGGGGCTTGCATGATATAGAGGAAAACAGTAAAATTTAAAAATGTCCATGATTTCAGATGATAGGCAACTTGAAGCAAAATTAAGGAGTTCAAAGGGTTACAGAATAATGGGTGGAGGAGTAAAGAGAAAGTAAAAATACCCTGAACTAAGACTAAAATGGCCCCTTCTGGAAAGAGATCCAAGCCCAGCACGGTCAGCATCCATAGCAATCTCCACAGGGAGATTCTGGGAAGGGGAGGTCTGAGGGAAGGAAAGACCGTCCCCAGCAGCCTGTTGGGATTCTGTGCTGAGCGGTGTGGCAAGAAGGCCTTGTGGGGTGTTAGGATGAGACAGGACGTGATCTGGTACAAGCTTAAAGGATCACGCTGCAGGGCTGGGAGTGTGGAGCATGGAGAAAAGGGAGTTTCAGCAAATACAGGATGGTTTCTGGGCACACACCTCAAAATGCATCTATTGGTTTTCCTTCCGAAATTCTTCATGAGCTTGCATGTTATCATCTTGTGGTGACCAGGAGGAAAATCAAATCTAGGTTTTATTAGCCACCTAACCACTTTCTCATCAAGTTCTTGTTTTTGGAACGTGTGTAGAAGTGACTCAGACTGGATTTCTGGATGGCTTTAAGGTACATGCCTACAGTGTGGGGAACACATCCATGCCCAAGGATTGATCCAGATGATGGCTTATTTCACTGGAGGGGAGAAACTACTTCCAAGTGTTTAGGAATGGCAGAGAAGTGAAATTGGCTTATAATATCATAATGGTATTGAGACTTTCAATGTATGGGTCATCATCACTTCTGTTTTCTCATGCAGAATAACAAAAGAAAGAAAAAACAAAACAAAAACAGGCATTGGGTACAGCTTCAACATGCTCTGCTAACCTTATAGGCTATCAATTAAAGAAGATGATCCCTACAGTAACAGCTATATGGGAGCAAAAGTGTTCCTGGAAAGAAGGCAGGCCAAAGAAAGCTAAGAGAACATTTTTCCTTAAGGATTGGCCTTGGCGTTCAGGTTTCGAACCTGAGTTGAACAGAGCTGGGAGTGATTTACTTGAATTTCTTGCTTGGGTTGCCTTGAACCAAGTTTCTTTCTCCAACGTAAACAAAGGCAATTCAGACCAATATCTTATAACAGAAAAGAGCTTGCATTTGGTGTGGCCTCTCAGTTGGGTAGTTGCGCAGGGTCCTTGCAAAGCTCTAAGGTCGGGAGTCAGGATGCTAGACTTGGTTTCGAATCTCCCAGTCTTTGCTGGGCCACTAGGGGCAATTTAGTTTCACAAAGCCTCAGTTTTCACACCATCAGCTTACTACTTCCTACGTGAAAGGGCAGTCTTGAGGGGTAAACAATATAATGCACAGGAAGTACCTCGCATATTGTGCTCAAAATATTAGCCATTAGTATGATTATTAGCAAACTTTAGGCTTCTAGAAGTTTCTTTTTGTCTCTGTGATGCTAAAGTTCGTATTTCTTCTTATGGTGAAAGAAAATATGGCATTTTTGAATAATACTATTTTCCACATTAACTGAGTCAGGAAACTCCTGACTTTGCAGAGTCTTCAGGAATAAAATGGTTGTAGTTAACACACAGTGTGGGTGTAGACGAGGGTCTTTCTGCTGAGGGTCAAGAGAGTCCTATGGTCATTCATTTCCACCAAAAATGCCAATGTGCCCTGATCCAGATGCAAGGCCTCTGCTGGCCTGGAGCAGAACCTGTTGTCTGATGTGGCCATTATTAGGTGTTTGACACAGACTTGTCACTGCCAAGGCAGTATGGTCCAAAATCAGTAGGTCTGTGTGAGCAAGTAGGACCTATTCTCCAGCCACATAAGAATATGAAAGTGACTCATGATGAGGCCAGTAAAGCTTCATCTAGTAGAACTTTTTCTGGGGACATTCTATATTCTTGACCCCTACATCCTAATTGTCACTCTTGCCCCCAAATGATTGTGACAAATTCCACATAGATTTTGAAATTTGCCTTGGGGGTCACATGGCCTTTACGTGAAATCTGCCTCTACTTCACGTATTTTCTGAACAAGTAGAAGGAGGAGAAGATGAATAAGACAGTGTTGACACTGATATGGTAACTGCACCCAAACTCCTTCTATACACGTTGAAATGTAAGATGCTGAAGACGACCTTGAAATGTTTTCTTGGAAACAAAAACTATAGTTTGTTTTCAATTAAAAGATCGAAGCCCCTAGAGGAGAAAAAAATCTGGTCAAAATATCCCATCCAAATTATCAGACTAACAAAGGAATTTGATAGTGAAGGGCCTAAAGAAAATATTAGGTTGTGAATAGTTCCTCACTTCTTCTCCGATACTCATTTTCAGCAGCTGGGAATATCTGCACAAAAATCTACTATGGACTCAATAATGTCTCTGTTGATGTGTTTTTCTTCTTTGGTGACCTATAAAAGTACTAAATAATGGTATTTCATTTTTCATATTAATTAGTGTTTTTGAATTTTATGAAGTATTTATTTTTGAATATTTTAATAATTGATCTAAAACATTTATATTACATTGACACTATATATATACCATTCATCTTTAATACATTTTATTTTTATTTGATATTTTATACTATGCTTATAAATATTTATGTAACAAATGAGTAACTGGATGTATTAGTTTTTCTTTTAATGTATCTGAACATTTTTTTTAAACTGGCATATCAGTATTAGTTGACATATAAACCAAAATAGTGAGATAAACAATTGAGTCTTGTCGGCAATTCCTACCTCTTGTATCCTCATGTGGTCTTTCTGGAGAGAATAAAATGTTTGTATAAAGGGGATATCACTCTTAGACCAGATACTAGGAATCACATTAGAGGAACTAGGTAAATAGATAACCATAGAGAGCTTACAGGTAGATTTCTGAGAAAAGTCATTAAAAATATTCAGATAAACCATCTGAAACTGCTAAATCATTTGACAATTTTTGGTCTACAAAAGGCAATTTCATCCACCTAAATCCAAGCTTGCTGATCCATGATACCATAGCTGCTTTTTGATATTTACCACCTGGCATGGTGCATTGCGTCCCTGTGAGGCTACCCGCTAACCGAGGACTGTTATTACTCATCTTCCTATACCATCCTTGCCCCTGTCATGACCCCAGCGCACAGTGGTAGAAACACAGATGAATGAAAGCTTGTTTCAGTAATAACTAAGTTTCTTTGGGCTTCATTACATAGCTAAGTATCTTGCTTTGTGTCCCTCATTGGACTCTTTATCCACATGATTTTTCAGCATATTTGGGGCCTCACTGTTTCTGACTCTCACTTTACCTTCTCAACATTCCAGGGAATTGCCTGCCTTATCCAACCCAGGCCACAGGGGCGCACCAGTAGGGAGACCTACATAACAGGCACCTGTATGTCACAAAGAGACCCCTCAAAGCCAACAGCGTACATTTACATTTTCCAAACACTTCACGTCTTCAGCCTCAATTTATGCCACTCCATCAAGGACAGTCCCTTTCTAGCCGCAGAGTCGTACCAGATATTCCAGGGTATTTCATATTCCCATGCTTTCTTTCATTCTGATCCTCCCATCTAAGATACCGCCCTCTCTGTTCTATGACATCTCTCTTTCTTGAAGTCTCCTCACATCCCCACAGCCCAGATGTCTTTTGCCCCGACTCTAGGATGTACAGATAGCTTTTCCAACGAGGTGTTAGAACTAATCCAATCTGGACTGATGTAGCGGTGAACCTCTCTTTCTGCACCATTACACCTAAGTTTTTCCAAACTAATGACTAAGCCCTGTCTTTCTCTGTACTCCCTAGCACTTAAAACAGCACCTAGAACAAAGTGGATGCTTGGTACTGTTGTGTTATTTAAAGGAGCTTCTGAGATGTCTAACCAGGCGTGGATACATAGTTTCTAGCTATAACACAGCCTGCTGAGCTTTTTCCCCACAAAGAGTGAATAGCCATTGCCTAATTTTTCA